CCTTAGGTACCCATATCTTTTTGGATCCTTGTTTGTTAGAGTTACCAAAATTATGTTTGAATTTTGGTTTAGCATAAAAAACATTACTAATATACTTTATGTCATGTGTATGTCCATAGGTGAAGTGTGAATAGAGAGGTGTGTGTTTTACGACTATATCATCAACTTTCTTTGGTTGAGGTTCTTTACCCCTATATCTTATACCTTTTCGGCCATTTCTGCTAACTTCATAGATCATTGAAGCCATATTGCTTCTATCTATGTTTTTAGGTAGAAATTTTTAAAAGCTATGATCATATTCTTTTATGATTCTATCAAAATTATTAGAAACTTCTGAAACAATTTCTTTCTGAGCTTTTTGTAATTTATTTTTAATAACATAATTTTCATTTTCGAGTTTAGATATTGTTTCTTTTAGCTTAGAGTTTTTAGTTTTTAGTTTCTTAGTTTCTTCAGAGTCGGATACTAGATTCTTTTTCAGTTTTTTTTTTACTCGAAGTTGCTGATAGCTTTCAAGAATTTCTAACAGGCTTTCTTCTAATTGAGATCTAGAAAAGTTAGAGAATACCTCTTCTGCCTCTGAGTCTGACTCTGATTCAGATGATCCAGTGTCATCTGATACGTTGGCCATTAAGGCTATGTTTGGTTCGTTCATCTTCTGATTCTGTTTCACTTCAGAAGATTTCGAGTCATCCCATGTTGCCATAAGACTTTTCTTCTTTTCTTAAAAGAACTTCTTTTTAGGTTTTGCTTTTTGAAGATTTGGATTGTCGCTTTTGTAATGACCTTGTTCATTACTTTCGTAGCAAACAATATCTCTGTTACTAGATTTTATGTATCCAAAAGATGATTCAGAATGATTCCCTATTCATCTGGGAGTTCTAAACTTCTTCTGTCTTTGCTTCCATAGCTGATTGACTCTTCTGGAGAGAAGAGATAATTCGTCTTATTCTGAGGAGGATCGACCAGAGTTTTATTCTTTTGCTTGAAAAACATTAGGTTCATATTTTTTATTAGATTTGAGAGCGAGAGACTTACCTTGCTTCTAGGGCTCATCTTCTTCTATTTCTATCTCATGACTTCTCAAGGAGCAGACCAGTTCTTCAAGAGATATTTTGTTCAGATCTTTGGCTAGTTTTAAGGCTGTAACCATGGGTCTCCATTTCTTGGATAAGCTTCTGATGATTTTCTTTACATGATCTACTGTTGAGTATCCTTTATCCAGAACTTTTAGTCCAACAACCAGAATTTGAAACCTTGAGAACATAATTTCAATTGTTTCATCTTCTTCCATTTTGAAGGCCTCATACTTCTGGATAAGAGCAAGAGCTTTGGTGTCTTTGACTTGCATGTTGCCTTCATGCGTCATTTTCAAGGAGTCAAACATGCTTTTGGATGATTCTCTGTTTGTGATCTTCTCATACTCAATGTACGAGATAACACTCAAGAGGATTGTTCTGGCATTATGATGATTTCTGAATTCTTTCTTTTGATGATCTGTCATTCTTTTTTTGTCGATCTTCTGACCACTTTCATCAACTGGATATATGTATCCATCAGTCACCGTATCCCAGAGATCAGCGTCATGAGCTAGAAAGAAACTCTTGATTCTGTCTTTCCATTAATCGAAGTTTTCACCATAAAAAATTGGAGGTTTGTAGCTGATTCTGTCTTTCTCATCATGATTGTCATTGCTGATAATCAGACTTGGTCCCACCATAGTGTTTTTCTTGCTTGAATCTTTTTCTGACACGGTTAAGTGTTTGCACCCAGAACCAGACGCTCTGATGCAAATTGAAGAAAGGAAAAACACAAGAAAGGGGGATTTGAATTGGGATTTTTAAAACTAAAGCAATAAACACGTTGGTTATCTTGGTTCATTTGAACTCAAACTACTCCAGTCCACCCGCCAAGGTGATTTTGTCTCTCTCAAATGAGGTCTTAATCCACTAATCAAACTTGATTTTACAGATACAATGACAATTGTCAATGTCTTCTTGAGACTAAACCACAACTCGATTTTCTCAAGGTATTACACAATAATATTATTGAAAGTGTGTATAAAGGTGTTTTCTAGATAAAATAATATCACTACAGTGATGTATTACACAATTGAAAAGCACAAAATAGAAGGGTAATGAGATTTCTCTTTTTCAGTGCACAACAAAATCATGTACGATTTCTTCTTCACGTCTTCTTTATATAGGCGATGCATGAGAGACATGAGAAGATGCTTTTGGAAGGTTGATAAATAGTAGTTAATGTTCTTTCCAAACATAGAGATTCTTGTCTTGATTCAGCCGTTACTTTTGATTTGTAATGAATAAAATATAACGCTTCAGAGGATGCTTACTGAAGATCATATCAGAAGATGAATGTTACCGTTGAGATTCCTTTAGTTCTTTCCAGAACTTTACGTATCAGAATATCAGAGTTCTTGTTCGCAGCGTTAGTGCATTCAGAAGTTGTAACATCAAAAAATTTTCATTTAAGCGTGTTGCGCAGATTTGCTTCTAAGTAAGATGTGTCATAACAGAGCTTTAATAACGATCTTTCTCATCTTTTGAGCTTCTTATATCAGAACTTCCCTGCATATTAAAATACTTTATTAGAGAGCATAATTGTTCTTTGTGTGTTTGTTATCATCAAAACTCTTACAAGGATATAGAACCAAACTATGTTCTAACAATGAATACTTGACCCTCTCATGTGAGAGGGTATTTATAGCCCCAACGCTGGACCAAGATCCATGTATTGGACCAAGTGATTTGGGTCCAATAACAAAGAATGTCAGGGTTACGTGGGTAATGGAGTCCAGCACGTGGCCCCTTCCCTGGTAAAGCGCCCTGAAAAATATAGGGACAGTGAATCCGTTATTCTCATAGGACAAGTGGCGGTTGATGTGACTGTTGACCCCGTTTCTTAATGGACACGTGGGAGAAATCCCGAACGGCTATCTAACTTGGGCCTAAAATTATTAGACCATAGACAGAGGCGCTGGATTGAGTCTGCCCATCTGTGAGCCAAGTGCCAGCCCGGCCGAGAACACACTTGATCGTCAAAATTTCTTATAAGATTTATAATACCTACATTTTTAAGTTCTATGAAATGTAATGTCCAAAAAGACTTCATAGTTTTGAAATGAAGAAATCAATTACTTTGGATAGGTGATATTTGTACACTTAACCCCGTATATAATACAGTCTTGACTATTTTATTATTAGTTTCTCTGCACAAATTAAAATAAAAGCTATTTAAAATATATATTTTGTACGATGTTTGATATACAACATGTTTCAGATGTCCAATAACAGGCCTCATTGCTTTGAAGACAGTAGAAAATGTGGTAGAACTAACAATTGGGTGACAGTTTTATATTTTCCGATTGGTGGAGTAATTCTTAATTTAATATGTTTACATAGCATATCAGATTTTGTTTTTAAGGGTTGTTATACCCTTCTACTTTCATTAATATTTAATATAATTTGTTTCATAAACAAACAAATTGATAGTGTGATAGTTATGGAGATGAAACAATCAACAGTGAACTTAATTGTCTTCTTGTTAATGTCCAGTTCAAGCACGTTTCTTGCTCTTAATCTTTTCGTTATCTTCTCAACCGAGTCTATGGACAGATTTGGTTAATGTCAACAAAAACAAGCAGAAGAGAAAATTTCATTTCCAACCGTATGGCCCCCCATGTTGTGGTTTGTTGCTCTTGTCCCTTGTAAATTAAACCAACCAAAACAATAATGCAACTACAGCGTAAAGAATAAGACATCTTTATGCCTCTCTACTCATCATAGATTTACATGCCCACATGCTTATTCCATAATGCATATAATGTTTTTTTTACTATTATTGCAAATTACTTCCTTGGTGCCAGTGTGGAAAGGATAATTTACTTTTATGATGATGGTATTCTAGACCAAAACATTAAAATATAAGATCAAGTAGTGATTCCTGCTGTAAGAAGAACGACATTCGGTGGCCACCAAGTTATCTATAATATACTTCATAGATACTGGATGCTTAACTAGAAAGAAAAGACAGGAATGAATTAAAGATGGTAAAAAGGAAACTTGTAAAATTAATATGAAAATATCATGCATAGATGCTCTCAAAAGAAAAAGGTAAACACAGCTGGCTGGCTGTACCAAAATCAATGATAATGCGTTCCCTCCAATGCCCCATCTCACCAATTTGGTGATTTCTAAAAGAAATCATATAGGTGGAGCCATTGTCAACATAATTTTTTGGTTCCAATTTTTCACAAAATATTAGTCACCATCTCATCGTTCCATGCGTATCAATCTCAATTCCATAAAGTTGAAGTGGAAAACAAATTGACCTGAAATGCGGGGAACGGTTAACCTCATTTATGAAATTGGTATAATCATCTATCAAGCAAGTCTTAATCAATAGTATTAGTGTTTATCAATAATATTGACTGAACTGAAGAAAGCATAGATAAAATTTCTATTCTTTTTCACCTAAAATAAAATTGATCATATACATTGATTGAGGCTTGAAGCTAAACATTTCTAGCCCTGATTATCATCTTCTTAGACGAAAAATCAGTTATCAACAGATATATATTTATAATGACACTCAACAGAGGGGATGGCTCATACCTAGCCCAAAGCACCTAGTTCAGCTTGACATTTTTGCAGAGCGCTGAGATGCATGTAGGGTTTTAACAAAAGTTTGCAACCGCCATATTGATGTTCTATGAACGCAAAGCAACTGTAGTTGAGGCCGCATTCTCAATATTTAACTGTGGTTATCAGCAATATTCACGACCACGGTTGCAACCGCAACTAAAAAACTTCGATACAATTGCTACAAGCATGTTTGGATGAGAGGTGGACAACTGCCACAGACCACCATAACTTAGGTGTTTTTCAGACACAGCACCTCAGAGGTTGAATGTTCTTTTCTTGTTCTGGCCGCATACAAGGGACAAGTTGCGTGCTACTTAGTTTCAATGCAAATTAGGATCACATCTCATAATCCAACTCTTCCTGCAAGATATATCCTTCTTCTCTCATCAAACCAAGCAACCCTTCCAGCAATGCATAAATCTCATCAGACATTTCATTTGACATATCCTTGGCAATAAACTCTAGTAACCTTCCACTCGTTTCAATCCAGCTACTTCCCCTGATTTTCTGCAATCCAGTTTCATCAATCATTTCCCTAATCATACTAGCTTCTCCCCATCTCCCAGCACGTGAATACAAATTTGCCATAATTATGTAATTCCCTGTATTTTCAGGCTCAATCTTAAGCAAATGATCACAAACAAATTTCCCCATTTCCACGTCACCATAGATAGAAGCTCCATGCAGCAGAGCACCCCAAACTTTAGCAGTTGGCTCAATTGGCATCTCAGAAATGAACTTTGCCGCTTCCGAGAGCTTTCCAGCTCGACTAAGAACACCAACCATGCAGGCATAGTGCTCCACCACAGGTTGAATCCCACATCTTGAAGGCATGGCATTGAAGACATTCCAAGCTTCATGCACCAGCCCGGAATGAGCACAGGCTGTCAACACAGAAGTTAATGTCACGGGGTCCGGCTGAATTCCTCTATCTAGCATCTGATCAAACAGACCAAGTGCCAAACTAGCATCTCCATGGGCAGCATGAGCAGATATAATAGCAGTCCAAATTATCAAGCTCCTACTCCGCGATTGATCAAAAACCCGCCTTGCAAAGTGAATAGACCCCAATTTCGCATAAGTGTCAACAATGGCAGTTGCTACATATATACTTTGGTCATAACTTCTTCTGACTGCATAACCATGTACCTCTTTCACCCCTCGAAGGTTTGAGAAATACGAAAACAAAGGAAGAATGCTGGCTAGTGTAACAGCATTTGGCTTCAATTTCAAACCAAATCCCTGCATTTCTCTAACCAAATCCAACGTCCCTTCAAACTGGTTATTCTGAACCATACCCGAAATCACAGCATTCCAAGTACTCAATCCAGGGTGTTCCATTCCCTTTAAAACATCCAAAGCCTTATCTACAAACCCATTAATCATATACCCAGAAATAATCGACCCATAACTAACCTCATCCTTTTCATTCATTTCATCAAACAACTCACGAGCATAATCCAAACATCCACACTTTGCATACATAGCAACTACAGCATTATGAAGCAACACATCCGTCTCAATTCCATTATCCTTCACATATCGATGAACTTTCATTCCAAATGAAAGATCCTTCGATTGTCCACACGCCTGCATCACACTACCAATAGTAACTGCATTTGGTACAATCCCTTTGCCTTCCTCGCCTAACATCTCCAAGTATAATCTCTTGCATTCTTGGTATAATCCACTCTGAGAATAACCACCAATCATCGAGTTCCATGTCACAATATCTCTATCCGTCATTTCATCAAACACCTTCCTCGCCATTTCAGTCATACCGCACCTGCAATAACAGGTGATCAACGCGTTGAGAACGAAAACATCTGAGTCGAATCCGCGTTGAAGAACAAAACTGTGAATCCCTTCTACTGATTTATGCGACGAAGAAGAAGAAGCAGGTAGTGCCTTCAAGATGCAGGTTACGGTGAAGTTATCGGGAGATACCCCTGTTGAGGTTACCGTGGAGGAAACAAACGATGCAAAGAGGTTAACCGCGTCGTTGAAGAGGGAATTGGAAGAGTAAGCGATGAGCATGGCGTTCCAGGAGAATGTGTTTCTACGAGGAATTGTGTCGAACACGTTGCGTGCTTGTGGTGTGAGGTTACATTTGGCGTAGAAGGTGATGAGCTTTGAGGCGAGGAAATTGTCGGGTGTGATGGAGAATGAGAAGAGGCGCGCATGGAGCTGTTTGCCTTGACGGACGAGGCGGTGGTTGGTGCAGTGTTGAATGGTGGAGCCATAGGCGGCGATGTCGAGTCCTCCGCCGAGGGTTTTAAAGAGGTTTCGGTGAGGGATGGGCTGTGTTTGAAATAGAACGTTAAGCGGCAACGCATTACGGATCTTCATTTCATCATTGTGAGTTTTTGGTTGAATTTTGAATAACTAAGATTCAAATGGTTAAAACAAAACAAAAAAGGATTAAAATAGGGTCCTATAAAATTATTAAATTTCGTTTTTGATCTCTATAATTTCTTTTTTTATGTTTTGGTTCTTATAAAATTGTTAAGAATGTAATTTTGGTTCCTCTTTAAATTAGTGCGTATTTTTCAATAATTATTTTAGAGACATTTAAAATGTTATAAAAAAATATTTTAATTTTTTTTCTTCAGAATTTGATTTCTAAGTTGGAATTTTCATTATTTTTATTATTATCTTTTAAATTTTAAAAATTCATATTTAATTCTTATCATTTTAAAAAAAAATTAAAATTTGTTAAATGAATAATTTATATTTTCTAAACATGTATGAAAAAAATTATTCAAAAATTTGAAAGTTTAAAGATAATTAAACAACTTTTAAAATTTTGGAAAATAGCATAAATTAAAATTACATGCATAAAAATTTTGTAGGGACTAAAATAAGTTATTTTTTATAAGGATTAAAATTGAAAATTTGTGAAACCAAATATTTGGGCTCCAGTGGTAAAGGAGCTTATGCAAAAGACGACACTCAGGAAATATCGAGTTCGATTCCTGGTGAGAACCTAATTGAGCTTTGGCTTACCAACTTGGATTATATTGTGCTTCACTTGAGCAATGTCTAACTTTAAGTTCACCTCGATTTACCTTTTCCCTCAAAAAGTGAAATATAATTTCGATATGTTTATTTCTTCCATGCAAAACTAGATTCTTCGCCAGATTTATGACTGACTTGTTGTCGATTTGCAATACAAGAGGTTTCTTCACTTCGACCTCAATTTCTTCAAGTACCGATCTAATCTAAATTGCTTGACATGCAACATAGAATCATGTTATATATTAAGCTTCACACTGCGGTAATGCCACCACAGGTTGCTTTTTCGAACACCATGAGATTGGGGCACCGAATACTTGAAAGAAATATCCAGTTATGCTTTTTCGATCTTCCTTATCTCCACATCAATCAGCATCTGAAAAATAATTAATTGTTGCTTCTCTTCCTTCATAATATCGTCGAAATAGAATTCCATAGTCTATCGATCCTTTTAAGTATCTCAAAATTCTTCTTGCAGCCTTCATGTGTGAAACTCTTAGTTCACTCATGTATCTGTTCACTAATCCGACTGTGAAACATATATCATGTCGAGTGTTGCACACATACCTCAGAGATCCCACAATTTGCTTGAACAATGTTACATCGACCTTGTCTTCCTCTCTATTCTTGTCCAACTTCATATTTGGTTCGACAAGTGAGGATGTAGAATTTGAATCATCCATTCTAAATCTCTTGAGTATCTCTTTGACATACTTCCTTTAATGTAGCACCATACCTAGCTTCCACATTTAAAATTCCATTCCTAGGAAATAAGAAAAGTTTCCCATATCCGACATTTAAAATTCTCTCATCATCAGCTCTTTGAACTTCGGCAAGTTCTCCAAGCTATTTCCAATTACCGGCAAGTCATCGATATATAAGCCGATGATTGTTATATCTTGTGCTACAACCTAAACATAGACATCATACTCAGGTTTCATTTTACAAATCCTAATTCGACTAAGTATGAGTCGATCTTCTTGTTACATGCCCTAGGTGTCTGCTTGAGGCCATAGAGCGCTTTGTGCAACTTATATACTTTACTAGCTTCCTTCTGAATCAAAAACCCTGGAGGTTGTATGACATAGACCTCTTCATCTAAATTCAAAAATTCTAACTTCACATCTAAGTGAAATGTTGACCAGCCTTGGTTGTATGCCAATGCTACCACTGGTTGAATTGTCTCCAATCTTTCTACTGGAGAAAATACTTCAGAGTAGTCGAGTCCTGCTCTTTGAAGAAATTATTGAGCTACCAATCTTTCTTTATACCTTGCTATTAATCCATCAGCATTGTGTTTCAACTTGAACACCCACTTCAGTTTGATAGCTTTTGTATGTGCTGGTAATTCGACTAACTTCCATGTGTTTTTTCTTTTGATTTCCTGTAACTCTTCAACCATAGCTAACTTCCATTGTTGAATCTTTAAAGCTTCTCTATAGTTCATTGGTTCAACACCTGCACATAAAGAAAAATGAACTAATTCTCCATCTAGTGTGACTTCATCATCACCAACCACTTCATAATCAAGAAGTCTTACTGGAAGAACTCTAGTTCTTTGAGGTCTTTGGCTTGTATCAACGACAACCTCTTCAACTTCGTCTGGATTCTCAGTAATTTATTTGACTTCTACTTCTTTGTTGAAATTAGAGCTCATTAATGGCTTGTTAATTTCATTACTAGAATTCTGATTTCAGGCAGAATTTTCATCAACCATAATATCTCGACTCAACACAATCTCCTCATTAATTGGATTAAATAGTCTATATGCACCTGTCTTATTATATCCTACCAGAATCATAGGTTCACTCTTGTCATCAAGCTTCCTTCTTCTTGCATAAGGAATATGCTTGTAACACATAGAGCCAAACACCTTTAGATGACTCATTGATGGTCGTTTGCCACTCCACACTTCTTTAGGAACCTTGCTCTTCAATTTCTTGGTAAGGCACCTATCAAGGATATAATCTTCAGCCGAAACAGCTTCACCCCATAAGGATTTTGGCGAATTCTTCTGCTTCAATATGCATCTCGCTATATCCAATATGGTCATGTTTCTTCTTTATGCAATTTCATTATGTTGAGGTGTATAAGGAGTATTTACCTCATGATTGACACCATGTTCTGCACAGAAATTTTCAAATATCTTGGATGTGTATTCGCCTCCTCCATCTGTTTGTGGAACTTTGATCTTCTTCTCACTCTGGTTTTTGACAAGCATCTTGAATCTCGTAAAGATTTCAAATACTTTGTCCTTTCTCTTGATCACATATATCCACAACTTTCGACTAAACTCATCGACAAACGAAACAAAATATTTGTTTCCACCAATGGTATATTCTTCAAATGGGCCACATACATCTGAATGTATCACTTCGAGTATGCCGGATGATTTCATAGGCATAGTCGAAACAAAATAATTTTTGGATTACTTTACGATTAAACAACCTACATAGAGTTTGTCAGACATCTCAAGACTTGGGATACCAGTTACCATATCTTGAGTAATCATATGATTGAGTGATCAAAAGTTCAAATTTATAAACCTCAAATGCCACAACCAGTTATCCTTATAATCGACAACTGTTTTTATACATTAAACTCGTGTCGAACTGATCATAGTCTTAAACATCCTATTCTTCAACATAGGAGATTTCAAGACCAAATTATTCTAGGTGTCGAACAATTTTAAAGCTCCATCTTTCATGACAACTGAGAAACCTTTTTTGACCAGTTGTCCAACACTTAGTAGGTTGCACTTAATTCCAAGTACATAGAGCACATCTTCGATAGTAGCTTTCCCTCCATTACTCATTTGAAAAACTATGTTTCCAGTACCTTCTACTTGCAACGAACTATTATCAGCAAGTTTTACCTTCCTCTTATTCGACTTGTCGAAGTATGCCAACCACTCCTTTCGACCAGTCATGTAATTCGAGTAGCCTGATTCAAGGAATAAGATCTTGGATTCGACGTGTTTATCTGTAACTGCAGCCATAACCACCATACCTTCAGAGTAATCTGAATCTTGGCATGCAAGGTTCGCTCCTTCGTTTTTGTTTGTCGATCCCTTGTCTTTCCTATACCAACAATTCTTGGCGAAGTGACCCCACTTTTCACAATTATAGCACTGAACACCTTTTTTATCTTCTTTGTCCTTTTGATAGTTTCCTCCTCCTTTTTTCAAGGATTAAGAAGCCCTATCATCGACCTAAGGCTTATGAGGGTTCGACCAAGACTTCTTTCCCTGAGTCTTATCGAATTTGCCTTTGAATTTGTTGGAACCACTTTTATTTTTCCATGACTGAGCCTGTAAAGATTGTATCAAATCTTGAAATCCTTTCCTTTCGACAATCCTATTCTCATGAGATTCCAACGAACCAACCAAATCTTCCTGTTTTAGGGTTTCATGTTGATTGGATTCTTGAATAGCTACGATACCGCGATCAAAGTGAGAGGTCAACATACACATTACCTTCTCAACTACCATCTTATCAGTTAAGGTTTCACCATAATTCTTCATGAGATGGAAGAGTTTTTTAACCTTTGAAACATACTCTACAATCCTTTTGTCTTCTCCCATCGACAATAATTCATATTGTCGATGCAAGGTCTGCAACTTAACAATCTTGACTTTCTCACCTCCTTCATAGTACTTGACAAGAATATCCCATGCCTCCTTTTCCGATTCAGCATGAGAGATTCTGTCAAAGTTCACTGCATCGACCACTGTCTGAATGCAATACACAGCCTTGCAATCCTTCTTTTTGGCTTTGTTGTGGGTTGTTTTCCTTGTGTCGGTTGCATCTACTGCCAGTGCAGAAACGCCATTGGTAACCACATCTAGGGTTTCATGAAAGCCAAACAGAGATTACATCTATTTTCTCTATCAAATCCAATTCTTGCCATCAAGAGTTAGAAGAGAATTTGGAATGCTATTGTTACCATTCATCTTCGCAACAATTGCTAGTGAACAACCCATAATCCTGGAAATGCGATCTCTGATGTGTGATTCTTGAAAATAATCAAGAATCTAATTGGAGATATAGATACTAGTTTTTTAGTGTGTGAGGCACTTTTAGTGAGAACAGAAAGAGAGAATAAAGGAAATAAGAATTATATTATTCACGTGAATTATATGGTACAAATAATGATATAAACTATGACTATTTATATATAATCCTAATTGGGCTTGGGCTTACCAAATTGGATTATATTTGATATTATATCTAATATCTCAACATATCTAACTTAAATTATATTTGATATTATATCTAATATATCAACAGAGGTGACTAAATAATGTGATTTTATTTATATGGTACTAATATTAG